ATACTGTTGCTTGCAAATTAAATTTCATTTAATCACTTTTTAACCGTCATTTATTCACGTAACAAATAGATATTTATTGATTGCTTGTCTGGGTGCAAAGCAATGGCTAGGTCCTCATGGTTTGGTCACTTCTCACTGGCTTTTATTCCTCCTCCTGATTTGATATGAAGAGGGGGATTTAACTGACATTATACTCCATCCATCTGCCACATCTTTAATGCAACCTTAAATGGGCTAGAACCTGCAGTAAGTCCCGGGGTATGTCACAGCTGCCTACTTTTAATCATTAAGTTCTCTAAGAAATGAATTCTCTACCTTTGGGCTGAAGGCCAATCAATTAAAATTAATTCAGTAACACAATTACTGAACCAAGGTAAGTCATTACCATTTCATTCTCTTCATAAACTGTACTAACCATGTATTTTTTTCTGAAAAGTAATTTTTCAATTTAACTTTAATGCACACTTTATAAATTGCAATCAGATTTATCCTTGCTTTAACATAGTTATATTTTGCTCCATGATTTTATTGAGAATCTCTGTGTTTCATTGTCTTCTTTTTCACTGGCTTACATTTCCCCCAAAATTAGATGAGGTAATCCTACCAAATGTTCCTTACCCTGACAATCATTTTGGATAGAACCATTATCTTAAACAGTGCAATGACTTCTACTGACTTCCATTCAGTCATTCATTTTATTTATTCACTCAACAAATATTATTTCTCTTTGTAAAACACAGCAGTAGGTACTTGTCTCAGGTTGCTCAGGATGCCTTATAACAAGACTGGGTGGCTTGAATAACTAAATTTATTTTCTCACAGTTCTGGAGATAGGGAAGTCCCCGCAGGCTCCAGGAGGCCCTACCTCTAAGGTTTCCATCAGAGGCCCTGGCCTGATGACATAGAGGTAATGGCCCTACCCTTTGAAACTAAGGAGGCAGCCCTAATGATCTCTGAATATCCTTTAGGGTTAGAGTGCCCTTTTCTGGAAGAACCGCACATGCCCACAGCTGAATATCTCTGTGGTCCAGTCTTGTAGGATCTAAGAAGTCTGACAGCCTTTTTTAATTTTGTCTCATTTTTTTTCTATCTCCTTTAATTTCCTATGCCCAGCTGACAGTGTTTCTGCTGTTATAATCCTATGTGTATTCCTGGCTTCTTCTGAGATGCCTGATTAAACCCATGAATCACAGCTATGATCTCCTTATCAAGTGGTTGTTCAGTCACACACTTAGTGTTCTTTTCAGAACAGCTTTCTCTTTTTTTTTGCAATATGGATAAGCTGAGAATTTTACAAATCTTCAAGTTATGGTTCCTTTTTGCTTAACAATTCCTTCTTCATCTCCTTTCCCATGTTTTACTATAAGCAATCAGGAGTAACCAAGCTGCTCCTTTAAAACTGGGCTTAGAAACCTTCTCAGCTAAATATCTAATTTTATCACTTGACAATTCAACCTTCCACAAAACACTAAAACACAGTTCAGCCAAGTTCTTTGCCACTTTGAAAAGATTGCCTTTCCTCCAGCAACCAATAACAAATTCCTCATTTCCATCTGAGACCTCACCAGAATTGCCCTTAACATCCATATTTCTATCATGTACCTCAAAACTCTTCCAACCTGTATCCATTACCCATTTCCAAAGCCTCCACATACTTAGGTATTTATTACAGCAGCACCCCACTTCTTACTAAAATTTGTATTAGGATTCTCCAGGGAAACAGGACCAACAGGATGTATGTGTATGTGTATGGTGGGGTGGGTGGATTTAGAAAGAATTGGCTGGCATGATTATGAAGGCTGAGAAATCCAAAGATCTGCAGTCAGTGAGCTGGAGACCCAGATGGTTAAGTTCCAGTCTGAGTCTAAAGGCTTCAGAACCAGGAGAGCTCTGGTTCTTCTGAGGATGTCCTTGTCTGAAGACAAGTAGGCTCAAGACCCAAGAAGAACCAATGTTTCAGTTCAAATTCAAAGGCAGAAAGAAGACTGATGTCCCAGCTCAAAGTAGTCAGGCAATAGTAGCTTCCTTTCACTCAGCCACTCAGCCTTTTTATTCTAGTCAGGTCATCAAGTGATTGGATGGGTTCCACCCACATTAGGAAGGGGGATCTGCTTTGCTCAGTCTACTAATTCAGATGTTAATCTCATCCGGAAACATCCTCACAGACGCCAAGACACCACAGAATGTTTGACCAAATGTCTAGGCACCCTGTGGTTCAGTCAAGTTGACACATAAAATTAACAATCACAACATTCTAAGACTCAAATAGAATTAAAACAGTTTCTGCCTTTGAAAAGCTTGCAAATTAGTGCCAGAGATAGACTAAGCACAAGGTAGAGGGGAAAAGGTACTAAAATAAAGGCAAAGGAAAGTGTTAAGGGAGAGTAGAGAATCTATTAATTTTGGCAGATCAAAAGAGAGTTTCATGCAAGGGCTGCCATCTGAACAGCCTTGAGTATAAGTAGAATTTGGATAACTTGGTGATAAAGGAGAGAAGAAAACTATAAATTGTAGGTATAAGGTGAACAGGGGTGTGAAGATGCATAGTATACTTGTATAACCAGTACTAGCCTGGAATATCTTGGATATTACTCTGTCAAGTAAAAATAATTGAAAACCAAATTAAATCTTAAAAGCAGTGTTCAAGAAAATGCCAAGGCAGGGGATATGATGTGTTACATTCAAATTACACAGAAAAATTTCATACCATCCTTTTTCATAATTCCTCCCCCAAATCTCCCACATAAATGGCTGTCATGCATGGCAGCTGCTCCAAAATCTCTCTTCTCTCATACTCTAAGGCCTCCAAAACATCTTTCCAAACCAGCCTATGCACATGTTTTTGTTTCCTCTGCCTCCTTTTCATTTATAACTTTTCTTCAGTCATAGCTCTCTGTTCTTTTTAATATAAATCCATCTAGTTTAGTTTCTCCAGGTCTGTCCCTCATCCATTACCTTCACCTATTTTATAAAGGCCTAGGAGCCAACTAGATAATTCCAATCCCTAATGCGCTAGAAAAGGCAAGATGCCAAAGGTATCCTTATGTTTGAAATGCTTACCTCTTATATTTAAAAAATAGCAAGTATGATTTGTCTATGTACTTTTCCATTGAAAGAAGGAAATCAACAAATCACTTGATACACATACATAGTATAGACTATGAAAGGATACAATGGGAAATGAGGCTGGAAGGTAGCAATCGAACTACTATCAATAGGGGATTTACTACTTATCAAGCAGTATCTAGCTTTGAGAACCATGTTGGTTAGTCTGAACTCTCCACATCCCTCAGGAACCATGGGAGATTAGTGAGTAGAAAATTGACATGTTCAGTTTGTAACTTCAGGATTAATGCATGTAAAGTAGATTGGATGGAAAGAGAGATGAGAAGCTAGAATACCAGTAAGGAAGCTGAGAAGCCCAGGTGAGAAGTGCTCAGGACCCCTCCTTTAGACTGTCGTGGCTTTAAGAAAGAGAGGTTTGCACAGACCATTTTAATATAAGGTGTTTGTTTACAGGACTGTAACTCTGGGGAGAGAAAATTCTGGGGCAAAACACCTCAAAACTGAAATCAGTTAAAGGGAGAAATAAAGTTTAAAACCCATTTATTGCTTACAAACTGCAGTCCGGGAGCCCTCTCTCTCCTGCTCCGGCAGAAGCAAGGAAGACCTCCCCCAAACCTCTCGGGTTCAGATAAGCTCTCAGTCTCCCAGGTAATTATCCATTGATATGAAATGAACTACCTCTCTAAACCCTTTAGGAACGCCTGTTGACATGGAGATGCACTAAAGCCAGGCGAGAGATTCTGGAAATACTGCAATTTTACCCACAGGACACTTAGAGATTGAGACAGGAACTAGACCTAAAAACCCTCAAGATCTAAGACAGCTGTAAGGATGGGGGGCTCACTTCATCTTTCTCTCTCATGTTCTCTCCCTTACATTTCTCTGTGTTTTCTCCATTCTCCAATTGGGCTCAAAGACGCCTCCTCTTCTTCACTTCTCATTCAGACCCTCTCAAGAAGATTTGGTTAATCAAATCACCCCTTATATGTATCCTAGTCAGCAGCCTCTAGTGCACAAAGAACAACTGGTCAATCCTTCACAGACTAAGTGGCCAAGTGGGGAAGAGGCAGTGGGCACCACTGGTGCCATAATTAGCATTTCAATTGGTGATATGTTTGGAGAGGATGGGTGGCTTTTATCTTAGGCCAAAAATCGATTTAACTAAGTATCATTCTTCATTATGCTATAGCTAGCACTATAACCAAATCATTTATCTTCTCTGTGCCTTAGTTTCTTCATCATTCAAATGGAGATAAAAGTAACAGCCTTTTATAATTGAGCAGACCTCAGAATGTTTAGCCACATTTAGTTAACATGAGGTTTCACTTCTGTATCACTTCTGGTTAACTAAGAATAACAACACCTTATTGTGTTAATTCCACTTTGCATATCAAGTTTTCATCCATTTCATTTGATCCTCACAAGAATTTTTTAGGGTAGCTAAGATAGATATCCATCACCTCCATTTTACTGAGATCCCGGGAGGTTACATGACTTATTCAAGGTCACACATTAAGTGACAAAGCCAGAACTTGAATTCTTATCTTCAAACACCATGTCCAATATCATCTTCTCTTGTTGCCTCTCAAGGTTTGGGTTCCTTGGTCTCAAAAAGCTACTGTGTATGGCAGATCTGCTATAGACATAAAAACTTTCATCTTCTTGCTCCTTGTACTTTTTTTATGTCTTCTTTTTTATGGCTCTCTTGCTCATCTATATTTCTTATTTATTACAGAAGTCTCTGTTTGGCTTTTAGTAAAAGTTTGGTTGTAGAAGTTCCAAAGCTTCCCTTGGCATTGACCTGTGCTTCCTGAATTGCAGGGAGACATTCCATCACAGTAACTACTCTCACCTCAGCTGGGAGTATCGGGGAGGATGGAATCCTGAGCTGTACTTTTGAACCCGACATAAAGCTTTCTGATATTGTGATACAGTGGCTCAAGGAAGGTGTTATGGGCTTGGTCCATGAATTCAAAGAAGGCAAAGATGACCTGTCAGACCAGGATGAAATGTTCAGAGGCCGGACATCTGTGTTTGCTGATCAAGTGATAGTTGGAAATGCTTCTCTGAGATTGAAAAACGTGCAACTCACAGATGCTGGCACCTATAAGTGTTACATCATCACTTCTAAAGGCAAGGGGAATGCTAACCTTGAGTATAAAACTGGAGGTGAGTTACTTTTGGAAAAACAGAAACTGCCAAGATATTTGGGGCTAAAGACTGTGGTTTGCTGATGAAATATCCTGTTACGCTCATGAGTGACCAATATCAAAGACCCTGCTAGCATCCTTGCTGTCCAAAATCCACATCAATTCCAAAAGTAGCCCACTATTAATATTAGGCCTTATAGTTTTTGCGTGCATATATTCCCTGAATTATTTTGCCAACATAAATTTTATGGTAGCCTCTGCTACTGTTCATATGAGAAGCCTATAATCAATCTGGTCTGAGACTTTTCTAAGCTGCATAGGTACTAGGCCCAAATCTGAAATCAGTACCGTCAGGGACTTCTGACAGTGGAATCCTTTTTTGGAGTTTAAAGGGAACTAACCAAAATAATGTTATCCTATAAGCTTACCAACGCTCTCCCATTGAAATCCATCCTTCCTTACCAACTCAGTTTAACATGATTTCTGTATTTCTATACAAGGGATGAGACAAGTTCTGCAGAAGTAAAAGAATGATTAAGGAAACAAAAATGATTGTTCTTCCTTTTGAAGAACTCATAGTGTAGAGCTTAGAGTTGAGGGTTGGGGCAGAGATAAGAAAAATGCTTAAGTACTTAGAGTAATTGTAAAGTTTATCAAATGCTTTAAGAGAAATACAGAGTAATTGGAGATTCAGAGGCAGAGAGAGATCACATCCAAATGCATAGGGAGGGAAAGGAAAGGAAAGCCCCATGGAGAATTTGGCATTAGAGAAGAGCCTTAAAGGATAGGCAGAAAGTATCCTGAGGCCTCCTAGCCAAAGCTCGTCCACACAGGCCTTTCTTGGACACTACATAACATTGTGTCTATAATAGTTAGGGTCTGGAGTTTTGTTAATAGCAATGTATCAATGATGGTTTCTCAGTTTTGACAAGTGCACCATGGCTATTTAAAATGGTAACAATGGGGAAGACCAAGTACAGATTATACAAGAACTCTCTCAAGTTGCTTTGCAGCTTTTCTGTAAATCTAAAATTATTCCAAAATTAAAACCTTATTTTTTTTAATGGTGATAATACTAGATATCCCTAGGATGGTTGCAAGGTGCAAATGCAATGTCTAGAATTGGGTACTTGGCACAGAGTATACCCTCAGTAAGTGGTGGTGGGTGGTCATTTACACTCAGTTTCTCACAAGCAAAGCTTCTTCTCTGCCTGCTCCAAGCACGTGAGTCTTGTCTTCTCTGCTAGACAGCAGAATTTTTAAACGGCAGGGCAAGGGCTCACCTTTCACCACTCACTCAGCACCAGCACACTCCCAGGCAAAGGAAGATGTTAAATTAATAAATTGTATCTTGTCATTTTGGCATAATAAACAATGTACAGCTAAAATGTCCAGGCCTTAACATTTCTCCACTGTGTCTCTACAAGTGTTTCTTGGCTTTGATGGAGGAGGAAGTTAGTAATAATTTCAAAGTTCATTTATCTCCCCAAGAAGAATTATCTTAGAAGAAAACAATGTCTGTCTATATCCCTGGATACCAGGGTTGGTCAGTCTCTACCTAAGCAAAATCCAGATTCCCCTGATGACAAGACCTGTGTATGGGGTTTCTGTGGGTGACAGGCAAATGCTGTTTGTCTTTCCTCCTCTCTCCTTCCCCACCCTAACTTTATCCTCCAGGCAGAAAAATACATAAAATCCAGGAGGCTTCATAGGCACCTGGAAAACTGCCCAGTTTCCTTAAGGGATAGATTTTTTTGTGATCAACTTTCCTTTACCCTTAAACTCACTCTTACTTGGAGAAATATATCTGTTGTAACAATTATACCTAGCATTTAGGTCTTGAAGTTTGTGATTTTGGCCAGAGGGTTGTGATGCATACCAATAGTATGAATAAATCATTACTTGTATCTACAACACAATGGGCCATACACAGCCCACTGATGAGTACCGCATCACTTCAATGATAGAAATGACTGGGTTTTTAAGACCAGGCACTTCAAAGGCTATTTAATCTATCTGATGTTGACATCTGCCCTTTTTGCCCTTTAACCCTGCAGCCTTCAGCATCCCAGAGATGAATGTGGACTATAATGCCAGCTCAGAGAGGTTATGGTGTGAAGCTCCCCGATGGTTCCCCCAGCCTACAGTGGTCTGGGCATCTCAAGTTGACCAGGGAGTCAACTTCTCAGAAGTCTCCAATACCAGCTTTGAACTGAACTCTGAGAATGTGACCATGAAGGTTGTGTCTGTGCTCTACAATGTCACAATCAACAACACATATTCCTGTATGATTGAAAATGATATTGCCAAAGCTACAGGGGATATCAAAGTGACAGGTGGGTTCCTCTGTGTTTTTAAAAATTTTTTGTTGAAGTATAATTGGTACACAATATTATATTGGTTTCAAGTATACAACATAATGATTCAACAGTTATATACATTATTAAATGCTCACCCCAACTAGTGTAGTTATTATCAGTCAATATAGAGAGATGTTACAGAAGTATTGACTATATTGTCTATGCTATATTTTCATCCTCATGACTAATTTATATTATGATTGAGATTTTTTGTCTCTTTATCCCTTTCACCTACTTTACCCACCCATGCCAACTCCTCCCCCACAGTAACCATCAATCACCTCTCAGTGTCTATGAGTCTACTGCTTTTTCGTTGTGTTTTGTTTTTAGATTCCACATATAAGTGAATTCATATGGTATTTGTCTTTCTCCATCTGGCTTATTTCACTTAGCATAATACCCTAAGTCCATCCATGTTGTCCCAAAGCTCAGGAATTCTTTTGTTTTTACAGCTAAATAATGTTCCATTTTATATATGTTCCATTTGCTCTTTATCCACTTTACTATTGACAGACACTTTGGTTGCTTCCATATGTTGGCTATTGTAAATACTGCAGTGATAAACAGAGGGGGGCATATATCTTTTCAAATCAGAGATTTTTTTTTTCCTTCAGGTAAATTCCTAGAAGTGGAGTTGCAGAGATGTATGGTATTTCTATTTTTAGTTTTTTTGAGTAACCTCCATACTGCTTTCCATAGTAGCTGCAACAATTAACATTCCCACCAATAATGTAGGAGGGTTCCCTTTTCTCCATATCCTCGCCAACATTTGTTATTTCTTATCTTTTGTATAGTGGCCATTCTGACTAGTGTGAGGTGATATCTCATTGTGGTTTTGATTTGCATTTCCTTAGTGATGAGTGATGTGGAGCATCTTTTCATGTGCCTGTTGGCCATCTGTATGTCTTCTTTGGAAAAATGTCTATTCAGGTCATCTGCCCATTTTTTAATTGGGTTATTTGATTTTTTGGTTTTAAGTCATATGAGTTCTTTATATATTTTGGATGTTAACCCCTTTTCAGATGTATTATTTAGGAATATATTCTACCCTACTGTGGTTGCCTTTTTGTTTTGTTAAGGGTTTCCTTTTCAGTACAGAAGTTTTTTAGTTTGATGTAATACCACTTGTTCATTTTTTATTTGTTTCCCTTGCCCTGGGAAATGTGTCAGAAAAAAATTTGTACAGAAAAAAATTTCTCATGCTATGTTCAAGAGATTTTTGCCTATGTTTTAAGAGTTTTATGGTTTTGTGTATTAAATTTAGGTCTTTGATCCATTTTGGTTTACTTTTGTATATGATGTTAGGGAGAAATCCAGTTTCATTGTCTTGCATGTAGTTCTCCAGTTATCCCAATATCATTTATTGAGGAGACTATCATTCTCCCATTGTATATTCTGGCCTCCTTTGTCACATATTAATTGACCATACATGTGTGGGTTTATTTATGAGCTCTCTATTCTGTTCCATTGATCAATGGTTCTGTTCTTATGCCAGTACCATATTGTGTTGACTACTGTAGCTTTGTAGTATGGCTTAAAGTCGGGGCATATGATACCCTCAGCTTTGTTATTCTTTTTCAAGATTGCTTTGGCTATTCAGGGTCTTTTGTGGTTCCATATGACTTTCAGGATTATTTGCTCTAGTTCATTGAAGAATGCCATTGGTATTTTGATAGGGATTGCATTGAATCTGTAAATTGCTTTGGGCATGATGACCATTTTGACAATATTAATTCTTCCTGTCCATGAGCATGGGATAGATTTCCATTTATGTGTGTCTTCTTCAATTTCTTTCAAGTCTTATAATTTTCAGAGTAAATTCCTTTCCTTGGTTAGGTTTCATTTCCTTGGTTAGGTTTATTCCTATGTATTTTATTCTTTTTGATGCAATTGTAAGTGGAATTGTTTTCTTGATTTCTCTTTCTGCTAGTTCATTGCTGGTATGTAGAAATGCAACAGATTTCTTTATAGTGATTTTGTATCCTACAACTTTGCTGAATCAGTTATAGGTTCTAATAGTTTTTTGGAATAGTCCTTAGGGTTTTCCATATACAGTATCATACTATATATAGAAAACATACAGTGTCTGTTCATATCCTCCACCCATTTTTTAATTGGGTTATTTGCTTTATGGTTTCTGAGGTGTGTGAGTTTTTTATATGTTTTGGATGTTAACCTCTTGTCAGATATGTCATTAACAAATATATTCTTCCAAATACTTCTTCCTTACCAATTTTGATGCTTTTAATCTCCTTTTCTTGTCTGATTGCCATGGCTAGGACTTCCAGTACTATGTTGAATAAAAGTGGTGAGAGTAGGTATTCTTGTCTTGTTCCCAATCTTAGAGGAAAAGCTTTCAGCTTTTCACCACTGAGTATGATGTTGGCTGTGAGTTTGTTGTATGTGGTCTTTATTATGTTGAGGTATGCTCCCTCTATACCCATTCTGTTGAGTTTTTATCATGAATGAATGTTGAATTTTGTCAAATGCTTTTTCAGTATCTATTGAGATGATCATATGGTTTTTATCCTTCCTTTTGTTAATGTGGTATATCACATTGATTGATTTATGAATATTGTACCATCCTTGCATCCCTGGAATAAATCCCATTTAGTTCTGATGGATGACACTTCTGATGTATTTTTTAATTCAGTTTGCTGATATTTGGTTGAAGATTTTCGCATCAAGGTTCACCAGGGGTATACTGGTCTGTAATTTCCTTCTTTTGTATTGTCTTTGGTTTTGGTATTAAAGTGATGCTGGTCTCGTAGAATGAGTTTGGAAGTATTCCCTCCTCTTCTTTATTTTTCAAATACTTTTAAAAGGATTGGTATTAACTCTTCTTTAAATGTTTGGTAGAATTCAGCTGTCAAGCCATCTGGACCTAGTATTTTGTTTGTAGTGATTTTTTTAATTACCAATTCAATTTTGTTACTGGTAATCAGTTTGTTCAGATTTTTCTGTTTCTTACTGATCAGTCTTAGAAGATTGTATGTTTCTAGGAATTTATACATTTTTTTCTAGATTGTACAATTTATTATAATTTTTTATAGAATTCTCATAATTCTTTGAATTTCTGTGGTTGGTTGAATTTCTCCCTTTTCTTTTCTTTTCTTATTTTCTTTGCATCTTTTTTTTGATAAGTCTGGCTAGCGGTTTGTCTGTTTTGTTTATCTTCTCAAAAAATAATTCTTGCTTCATTGATTTATTTTCTATTGTTTTCTTTATACTTATTTATTTCTACTCTGATCTTTATTATGTCCATTCTACTAACTTTGGGCTTCATTTGTTCTTCTTTTTCTACTTCCTTTAATTGTGAGTTTAGATTGTTTATTTGGGATTGTTCTTGTTTCATAAGATAGGCCTGTAGTGCTATGCAGTTCCCTCTTAGAACCACTTTTGCTGCATCCCACATATTTTTTTCTTTCTCAGAAAATCTCTCAGTTTTTATTAGGGATAATATATTATTAATAGTTATAAACATAATCAATATACTTTTTCAAGTAATATGTTTACACATGTTTCTTAAGCCATTACTACAGTTTAGTGATTAGGTACCAAGAACTTGTGGAAAGAAACTCCCCTGTTAGTCCACTCAGCCTGGAAGAGGAGGTATTACTCTGCTTCAATTGGTTATTTTTTCATAGGCTAGTTGACTCAAAATTACTCAGTGCAAGACTGCAGATTTCTGTAACTGTTCTTGCATTGAAGTAATGTTGCATGCAGAATCCATAGATGTTTTGTTTGGAGTAAATGTCTGTTAAATGTCCACTCACTGGGGAATTTGCAGTTGAAATTTCCCAAATTTGCATACTGTGTTCTATAGTTCTGGGATCCCACCAGCTTTCAGACTGGACAAGCTGGTACCATCATGTTACCTGCAGAGAGCTACTACATATGAATACCAGCGTAGTCTACAATCTAGACCCATGTCCATAGGGTTCTTCACTGTCTGGCTCCCATCCTCCCCATGTGGCCCAGAGACACTCTGCCTTACCAGCAGCAATTGCTTCTAAACACCCAAGAAGCTAGGGACTGGACACAGGCAACCCCAAATTTTACCACCATTAACACTCTAAAATGTCAGGAAGATGAAACTTGCCACACTTTTATCTTCTGTCTTATTTGATCATTGTTCATGTGTATGTTATGATTCTTCTAAGTGAATTGAAACTTCCATGAAGAAAGGTGTCATGACTTCTTTTTGTTTTTCAGCCTATAACACAGGTACACAGAAGTTGCTCAGTAAATACAAACATTGATACTCGGGTATTCAATAATTGATATTTGATGCTGTCATTTTGATGCCTTGGTTTTGATTGATTATGCTGACCTTTCATTTCCTTCAGCTCAATTTCCAGTGTGCCTATCATAAGCAACTGAGCATGCACATAAGTACTACTGAAATGGGGAAGAACATTGGCAATTGGATAGAGATTTCCATTGTAGACATTGCTATGTAGCTACTTTGCTGCTGATAATAGATATTTAGTACTGGTTATGTACAGTGGAAAGTCTTACAGTTTGTTGTAGTAGGGCACTAGTACATTTAATTGGTGAAACTTCATTTACACCCAGACGTCTAGCTGCAGAAGTGTGTTGGGAACAGTACATGTATGCATATATATATATATATGTCACTCATGGCTATCTTGCAAATCTAATATAAAGAAACATTATCTAATTAACACTGCCAACCCAACAATTATGAAACTCTATCTAGAAAATTAAACAAATTCTTTCCTTTTCAGATTAAAATCACAAATAATAGTCACGTCTTTCCAAACAAAAGCATGATTCTCAAAGACTTCTGGATTTAAGACAGCAAAGTATAGACATTTCTGTCCCACTCTTGTCTCAAAAAATACAAAATTAGAAATCAGAACTTCAAACTCTATCTTAATGAAAATAGAGACATCTGAGATGTTAAAGCATATAGGAAAGCAGAAAGTGGAAAGCAGAATATAGGTGGGTGA